TAATGCATTTGAAGCCTGGATTTTCATGAGGCATTTAATGTCATTATCTATGCTTGGCATACACTCCTGATACATTTTCCCCTGCTGAACATCTGCACATTAATTCAAGATCCAGAACTTTCATCCTAAGCCTTCCTTAATTACCTCAGTTGCAAACAATTCCTCTGTCATTCTGCTATGAAGTCCTCCTATGTACTGATCATATTGTATTTTGCATTGTAATTAATTTTTTTTTTCATATGTAGCATTGAGGGGACATTGACACTAGGTCCTTGAACCTGCTATGCACACTACCTAACACCAGAGACATCTTTTGTTAGCCACTAGGTTCTCAGAGAGTTGACTGTCTCTCACACAGCTTCACTTCTTTGTAGACAGGAATGCTTTTCCAATTAGTCTAACTGTTTAGTATGAATTGATCCAATAAGATCCTCATCCCACTGGGAAAAACTCTTCCCCTCCATTTCATTAACTCCTGTTTCAGTTCCTCAGCTTCCATGTATAGTTAGAATATATGTTTAATTAAAGGAATAAAACATAATTAAATCATGTATATTAATGGGGACCAACATTAACTCTCATTTATCTGTTCCCACAGCAACATACTTTGACCTTGTAAACTGAAGTCGCTTCTGTTGCTAACCCCGACCCCCACAACAACCTGGGAAAAAGAATCAGCATGAAAGCTCCAGATGTCACTTTGGCTTAACTGTTCTTGTTCTCATTGCACTTTTTTGTTCAAGTTGCTGCTGTTTCTCCCAGTCTGAAATGCTATTAGGCTTCATTCTATCCATACAAGCCTTATCCTTCCCCAGGTGTATGAAAAAATGATACAGGCTGTTCAATGTAGCATTCACAGAGGAAAAGGAAGAGTGGCTTGTCACTATTATGTATTATCTCTTTCATGATGTTCAAAATTCTGGAGTTCTCTAGTCCAATGACTGCTTCCTCCATATCCCCTGCCTCAGCCTCTTCCCTCCCACTTTTAGGAAAGGGTTTCCAGCTGCTCCTACATTTCTTGGGCGGAGTATTGACATTGACAGAATGAAAGGGAGAGTTACATATGTAAGAAAGTCACTGGGCTAGATTGCAAGCTCCTTAAGGGCAAGAATCACATCTCATTCCTTTTGTATTTCCTACCATTTAAAATAATATTACACTTTGCATGTCACAAGTATTTAAATGTTCTTAATCTGAAGAAATAGAAAGGCAACAGAATAGAGCCAGAGAGGAATAAAATCTTGAGTGCTCATGGAGATGGATAGCTCAACTTGAGAAAAAAATGGATGAAATATTCAGTATTTGTTAGCCAGAGAAGAGAAAATCAGGAAGTTTTTTGCAACTAGTTTCATACTCTTTAGAGCAAAATCTCCATTATCTGTAAAATGGGATGACAATATTTATACTAGTTTTCTAGCAGGATTATTGAGAAGAAAGTAGTTTGCTAGGGGCAAAGGACCGTGCTGATACTGTCTTCTCATACAAATGCTGCACAATGAGTTTTAGTTTCTTTTCCTTTGGTAGAATAAACTAATCTTGAAGTATTACTAGTCAATTTCTCTATTTAAAAAAGACAATGGCAAATTAAATTGTGGGGAATAATGAATATAAATGTTGTATCATATTGAAATAATGATTAATAATGACAAAAGGCAAGTCCTTGCTTCCTGGCAGCCTGGTAACCCATTTCCTCAGTTATAGGTTAAAATTAAAGAAAGTCCTCCCCTTCCATATAACATTCTTCATGTGTAGTTGTATGCTACTTTAAAATCAATTTAATATAATGTTGAATAAGTACTAGGAGTAAGCTTGGTTCTTGCCAGCTCTATAATATCTTTGAAGTGGAGCAAAGGTGAATGACCAAAGGACCACAGAGATTTTCTAGGCGTTAACTCTGTGTCTGCTCTGCCACTATCTCCCCTGACCCCACTTTAGATTGATTTTAAAAGTTCCCCTTAGGGGCAGCTAGGTAGCCCAGTAGATAGAGCACCTGCTCTGGAGTCAGGAGGACCTGAGTTCAAATCAGGCTTCAGACACTTGACACTTAATAGCTCTGTGATCTGGGGCAAGTCACTTAACCCCATTGCCTAGCCCCCCCCCCCAAAAAAAAGAATTCTTGACTACTTTCACAGCAACTTCTCAAAAAGATATTTGTTCTCCAAGAGAACACACATTTATGCTCTTATGAATCTGTGACTTGATTTACATATACAAAATGAAGAGTGAGTTAAAAATTTTCCAGCTAAAGATGCATAAAGAAGCAGGCTGATTCATTTGTGCCAAAGAGAAATGCATATAAATATAATACACACATATACATACAGAATGTTTTCACACATACACACAAATATTTTTATGCTCTGTATCAGTTGTCTTTACATGGAACTAGATAATTGTTGTAATTGTGCTTTCCTTTGTACTCTCTATGAACAGAATGTATTTCTTTGGAGGGCTCAGATTTACCTGCAATGAGAGCTCAACAAGAAATAATCTGTTTTTTGGCTTTGTTAGGAGATACTGAATGCCCAAATCTCTGATCTTTATCCATCTCTAGCACTGATAAAATCAAGGTACTGGTGCCAGAAGCAAGGTTAAATGACCTTCACAAAATTGACTTGGGCCAATTTTCCTGATGCTAAACCACTAGGTAGGTTTCTATGTATAACAAACAAATAATGAAGCTATTCCCTTCCTACAACACCAAAATATAAAAAGTGCAGTTTGCCCCACAGGTCACCCAGAAAATGCCTTCCAGGGTAGTACAACATTGGACAGAAGGTTACTTGGTGTTGATTACACTGGCTGATAATAGAAATTCACTTGTGTAAAACCCCTGACAGTTTCTTAAGCCACTACCTAACAGGCAATGTTTCCCCAGGCTTTATGCTCAGCAGTTGTTGTTTTTTTTTTTTTTTTAAGTTTTATTTGTGTTTATGTGGAATGTACATATAGACTTCAGACTACTTAAATATAAAGATAGCTATAGGACTATCTTTATTTTGGAGACCAAGGTAATTTGGGGATAATTCAAATATGTTAAATATATGAGGATGTTTTAGCTTTACCATTTCAGAAAATACATGATGCAGAAAAATTATTAGGGAGGAAAAACTTTCCTAGAATTTTAAAGCTGGACAGGCCCATAGAGATCTACCTGAAAGAGGCAGCATGGTATAGTACATAGGACCTGAAAGTGGAGACCTGAATTAAAATCTTACCTTAGACACTTACTAGTTGTATAACTCTGGGTAATTAATAAGCATTTATTAAGCACTTACTATGTTGTTCCAGGCTCTGTGGATACAAAAACAATAAATGAAAAGCTCACCTCAAAAGGAGCTTACATTCTAATAGAAAAGGGGAAAAAGATTTTTATATATGTATATATCCATATGTACACATACACATATGTTTGTGTAGATATGTTGTTGTTCAGTCATTCAGTTATGTCTGACTCTTTGTGATTCTGTGGACCCTACTGTCCATAGAGTTTTCTTGGCAAGGATACTGGAATGGCAAGGACACACACAAACACATATACACATGGTTTTATATATATATAATGTGTGTCTGTGTTTATATGTATACACACATATATAATGGATATTGTGTGTGGATACAGAATAAATATTAAATATTTATAAAATATAAAGAGAATAAATATCAATAAATACAAAGTAGCTTGGGAGAGGAATCACTAGCAGCTGAAGAGATCAGTAAAAGCTTCATGCAGAAGATGATGCTTGTGTTACATCTGAAAAGAAAAGAGGGATTCTAGTAGATGGAGGTGAGAAAGAAGTACATACTGGGCATGGAAACAGTCAGTGCAAAGGCATGTCGATGGGCAATGGAGTGCCACTAGTGAGGAACATAGGGCCGGCTTGGGATTGCAGAATGTGGGAGGGCAATTAAAAAGGCTAGAAAGATATGTGGGGCCACGGTTAAGAAAGACTTCAAAAGCTAAGCAGAGTAATATATGTTGCTTCTAAAGGCAGACAGAAGTTACTGGAGTTTATTAAATAGGGGAGTGAAATAGTCAGATTTGTGTTTAATAAGAGTTACTATAGCAGCTTGTGAAGTACAGTGTGAAATGGAGAGAGATTGGAGTAGGGGAGATCAATTAGGAGGCTCTTGCAATAAGATGGGCACAAGGTGATGAAGGCTTGACCTAAGGTGGCAACAGTGTAAGTAGAGAAGGGACAAGATATGATACATGTGTGGAGGTAGAAAGAACAATGTTTGGCAACTTATTGAATGCATCAGGTGAAGAAAAATTGGGAATCCAGTATAATCCAATATCAAAGTTATGAACGATTGGAAAAATGGTGGTGCCTTTGACAGAAACAAGGAAGTTTGGGAAATAGAGGGGTTTGTCAGGAAAGATAATGAATTTTGCTTTGAACATGTTAAATTTGAGATGTCTCCTGATCATGCAGTTTGAAATGAACAATGGATAATGGCAATATGGGATTGAAGTTCAGGAGAGAACTTGGGGTGGGGTATATGGATTAGGCAGTCAATATCTCTGGGCCTCAGTTTCTTCATCTATCAATTGAGTCAGTTAACTTGTATGACCTCTAAAGTTCCTTCTAGCCCTCTGTCTATGATACTAGGATCTAATCTAAACCCCTCCTTTTACAGATAAATAAACTGAGGTCAAAAAAGATTAAGTATTTTAACCAATGTCACACTGACAGTTAGTGGCATTGTCAAGATTGGTAAACTCAGGTATTAGAAGTCCCAGTTCAGTGTTCTCTTACTATACTGCTTCTCTGATTGATATATTTTTTAAAATATCTAATAGAGTGAAAGTATCTTCTTGTACATTGGCAGATATTTTATTTTAATGACACTTCATTGTTGTCTCTTCACTGATTTTCAAAAAATCCTGAGGAATATATGACATTTACACAAACTCTGACATGAATAACATTTGTATGCAAATAATGCCTCACCAACTCTTTTCATCTTTTATTTTCCCCTTTCTTTGTTTTTAATAGGTAACCCATCACTAACCAGCAAAGTCAACGTTCTCATTAATGTCCTGGATGTCAATGAGTTTCCTCCAGAAATTTCTGTGCCGTATGAGACAGCAGTGTGTGAAAATGCTAAACCAGGACAGGTATTCCACCAATATTCATATTTGATTCTTTGAATTAATTAAAAATGGTTTCATAGGCTGTTCTTCTCAGGGGAGTGCACAAAGCAATCTGTGCAACACTGCATAAGGAAGGGAAGCTGTTGGGGAGGAAACATGGTAATTTCTTCATCTTCCTCATCATAGTCATTATCATCTGTGATATGTATGGTGTTTTAAGTGTGACAGAATATACCATGTATATTGCCTTGTTTGATGCTCACAGCATGAACTTTCTGGCCACATATGGACCTGCTCTGATGTACATCATCTCAACAAAAACATGACTATCAGTGAGGCAAGATGAAAAAGATCACATCCCACCAGGACTTCTCAAAATATACTCTCTGCCTCTCCTAGGGGACCAGACAGGGTTTGTGCTATATCATGTTTTAAGTGGTATATTCAAAATGCTTTCATGGTGATTTGTTCGGAAAGATATTCTGTTTTCACTAAGAATTCTGGGGAGAAACATCTTAAACATTAAATATTGAGATTATTGAGACAGAAAGTCTTGCTTCTCCTTCCCTCTTTCAGGACATCAGATTGAATTGTTTGCTTTACTCTGGCCTCAGGTTAAGGCAGTAGCATACATATCCTATAGAAAAATTATAGTTATTTTTCTCACATCACCTAAATGCTTGTTGGTCATAACATTTGTGCATATTTATGCTTGTGTATAAAGTATATTTTTATTGAAATCCAATTACTGTGTTTTGAATTACTCTCATGTTGTGGTTTATATGAAAATATTGAAAGGGTTTGAGTTTATACCTATTATTCTATTTCTAGAAGTTTTGCTTAAACTAATTCTGTCTTGGAATTAACAAATTAGTTATGTTAGCATTTTTATACTATAGTCACATATGCATTACAATTACCTTATTAAACATAAGCTAAATATCCATTTATAAGAACAATATAAATTTAAAGAGTCACATTTTTCCTTAATGAAAATTATGACTCAATAAGCATCTTTGGGAAAATTCTAGTTCCCCAAATCCGTAACTTTTCAAGCTTGGTGGACAAATACTTGACTAATTAGCCTCCTATTCAAATCTTATTTATTGCAGGTAGTAACCATTTTATGTTACACTATGGGTAACTGAACGATTTAGATTTTTTTCCAGTGAGCAAAGCCATTTATCTAATTGTGACCAAAGAATTAAATGTGGCATAATGCTTTCACATAGAAAAAAATGTGAATGCAGTCATACAGTTTTGTCTCAAAATCTGTCACCCTTCCCAAACTGATCTGGCCTCTGAGGAAAACAAAATAACTACAGTAAGATTACTCTATCCTGAGTGTTTCAAGTTACATAGGCACAACAAAAATCAGTCCTTTTCAGGACTTTAGGAAAGTATATCCATTTTCAAGTCACTAAGAAACCTTTTGGGCACTAAATGGGACCATTTTTGAACTAAGATAGCACTTAGTGTACTCACTGCTTCTCCAGTGACCTGGCAGTAAGGCACTGATAGCAATAGAACCTATTAATAGATGAGCTCAATTCACTCTTCATGCCTCCCAGTGTTCATTTTCTAGGTATAGAGGATTGACAGACTTTCTTCACTCCCTTTCTCGTTGGCCCCTTCAGAGCTTTTACATGCGGATGTGACAAAGAATAGTCTGAACCTCTACAAGCTCTGTCCCAGTGACACTTTCAGGGTCATATTCCTTCCCATACAAACACATTATATATATATATATATAACAACAATTCCTTCCACACACAGTTGAAGGTGACCCTTGAGTTTGATTTGGAAACTATTGACTTAATGAACTCTTGTTTCTGGTCTTGTCATCACAGACATTCCCTCTGGGTTGTAAGTATGAGGAGGTCTTTCTTCCTTGAGAATGACTAAATGAGTCTCCTCTGCTCAGTGAAGCTTCTTACATACTCTAAAAATGCTTATCATTCTGCAAAGTCTTTATGTGAGGGAAAATAGGCCTTACCATATCACTAATTTTTTTTCACATTTCCACTTTTAAGTTTTGATGCCTATTTTTTTTTCTTTCTAAACACAGATTACTCTTGCTTTGTGAGAGGTCTCTCATAACAAAGTAAAACAGTAAAGACAAACTAATAATAGAATGACCTCATTGCAAAGTTCTTATAATATTTCACATACATAGCACATTCCAACAAATCTATTAAAAATAACAAATCTATTTTCTCTTCCTCCTACCCTCTGTCTCACATAATGTGTGGGGAGGGGGAGCAAATTTCTTACAATACATATGTATAATTGAGCAAAACAAATGCTCCCATTGTCTGTATACAAAAATGTAGACATCTCATTCCTTACCCTAAATCCATCACCTCTCTGTAATAGATAACATGTTTTATTCTCAGTCCTCTGGAATCATGAATGATCATTGTGTTGACCGTAGTTCTTATAGCTTTCAAAATCATTTTTATAATATTTTTGTTGTAGACATTTTTTTCTACTGATTCTGCTCATTTCATTCTTCATCAGTTTACAAATTATTCATTTTTACAATATTGACATTATGGTATATATATTTATACATATATTTCTATTTCTATTTCTACTTACTTCGCTCTTCAACTTCATATATCATACCTACCATACTCCATGTATCAACTTTGTCTATCAACTTCAACATCAGTTCTTAGTCTTTAAATGTCTTTTCTTACAGCACTGTAGTACTCCATTATATCAATATACTAAGATTTATTCAACCTCCTCAGTGTTTAGAAATCATTTTAGTTTACTTTTTTTTTTGCCACCACAAAAAAGAGCTGTCATAAATACTTTTGTACCGAAAGGACCTTTTCCTCTTTCTTTGCTATTTTTTTGCCTATAAGTATTAGCTGGGTCAAAAGGCATGCAAACTTAAGTAAATTTTGGTATATAATTTCAAATTTCCTTTGAGAATGGTTGTGCACATTCACAGGACCACCAATAATGCATCAATGTGCCTGTTTCTTACAGCCACACCAGCATTTATCATTTTGCTTTTTTTGTCATCTTTACCACCCTTATAGATATATCACTGAAATCTTATTCTAGCTCTAGTTAATCTTTTTTTCTGTATCTAGTTGTTTTTAAACCAGAGAATTAGTGAGGATTAATGTATACTCAGAGAATTAATAACCGAGCTAGTAACAGATAACTAATAAAATTGAAAATAGAAAAACTTGAATTTTCTTAATTTTTCCCTAGTTGACTTTTGTTTTAATTTGAAATAGATGAAAACATTTCTTTTATTTAACTTAGAGTATTAAATGCACTTTTAAAACTATAATTTTTTTTAATGAAAATTCAAAACTCTCAAGTTTTATAATGTTTGCAAGCTTTGTGTTTCCAGTGCCCAGGCTAGTGCCTTATAGTGGGTCTTTAATAAATGTTTATAAAATTGAACCAAATTGAACTTAACTAAAATGAACCCAAGTCTCATGGGAATTACTTCCTATTTTGTCAGTGTGTCAGCTATTTAGTATATATAACTCTTTAGATATTTGGCTATGAAAATTGCATGTAACAAACTGGTTTGCAAGGTTTCATTAAATAAGCTCACTAAAATTTTGAGAGGAAGGTTCTTTTGAAAAGGCTGACTGCCTTCATTTTTAATTTCAACTTTGTTTCAGGTAATTCAGATCATCAGTGCTGCTGACCGAGATCTTTCACCTGCTGGGCAACAATTCTCCTTTAGATTATCACCTGAGGCTGCCATCAAACCCAATTTTACAATCCGTGACTACAGAAGTAAGTTTAACCACCTAAATGTGACCTTTTCTCACATAGCTCCATAAAGTAATAGATTTTAGTTCATTTTATAAAACTGTTAAAGTTTATAAAATGTGAAAATTCACTTTTGCTGGGATAGAAAAAAGGGCCAAAGCTTAATACAAATCAGTCAACAAATTATTACCCAAATCTAGAGAAAGAGTTGGGCATAGTCCTATGATGAATCAAGTGGTTAAATGACATTTTTGGAAGGTGAGAGAATACTAGCCTTGGACATAGTTACCTTTTACATGCATATGATGAAAGGCAGTGGTCCAATGGAGAGAAAAACCAGACCAGGAGTCAGGAAGACCTGGCCTCCAGGCTAACACATACTGCCTGTTGATTCTGGAGAAGTCAGTGTGCCATGCAATTCTATGAAACTACATCTGCATAATTTGATGGAGTTTTCTTTAACCTGGAAGCTCTGGATTTTGACTATGATGTTACTGGAAGTTTTCATTTTGGGATTTCTTTTAGTAGGTGAGTAGTAGATTCTTTTTATTTCCATTTTCCCACTGATTCTAAGAGATCTGCAGTTTTCTTTTAAGATTTTTTGAAATGTGATATCTAGATTTTATTTGGTGATGAATTTAAATAGTCCAATGATTCTTAGTTTTTCTTTGATCTGTTTTCTAAATCAGTGGGTTTTGTTATGAGATACCTTACATTGTCTTCTATTTTTTAGTCTTGATTTTGTTTTTAATATTTCTTATTGTCTCATGGAGTCATTGACTTCTATTTAGTCCATTCTAATTTTCAGGGAGTTTGCTGCTTGGACAAGATTTTGTACCTCTTGTGCCACTCTGTTAATTATTTTTCCAGTTATTTATTCCATGGTTCTTATTTCTTTTACAATTTTTTTTCCATTTAGCTCTCTCATTTCATTTATTAAAACATAATAAAACAAAA